GATGCAGATGCGCGAAGAGGTAGGAAAGTCGCGAAACACTATGTTTTTCCAATGATTTGGGGCTCCGGAGGGTCGAAAAGTAGGCTCGCTAAAGCGGCGGGTGCGGAGCCAGCTGGCCAGATGAGAGATGAAAAATAGCACGCCGTTGTGGCGCGAAGCACATTTCGAAGTCAAAATGTACAAAACACACCATTCTCGGACCACTTTTGGAAGTTGAGATGTCGAAAAAGTGCACGTCGTTGTGGCGCGAAGCACATTTCCAAGTCAAAATGTACAAAACACATCATGGTCGGACCACTTTTGGAAGTTGAGATGTCGAAAAAATGCACGCCGTTGTGGCGCGAAGCACATTTCGAAGTCAAAATGTACAAAACACCACATGTTCGCGCCACTTTTGGAGGTTCAGATGTCGTTTTGCGTGGCAGGCGCAAAGGATTGTGCACCTTGTCAATGGTGAGCAAAACGTGAGGGTTTTGCAGCATTTCCAGAAACGATGGCAGGCGTGGGGCATTTGAAGAAGATCTTCAAAGATGCATTTCGCGTGGCAGTTGCAGTACAAAAGACATGTTCATGAGAGATGTTCGGAGGTCAGGGCGCTCATTTCGTGAGAGGGGTTGCATTTTGGAGTATCAGATCTTCAGGTTTGCTGAGATGATTTTGCGTGACAGGTGCAGCACTTCGTATGACCTGGCATCAATTTTTCGTGGCAGGCGCAGTACTTTACACAGGTGGAGTGGAAAAATCGCAAAACGCATTGGTACGCGGCTGTCAGCGCTGCACTCAACTTTCCATTTTTGAGGAAGTCTCGCAGAATTGCTTTGATTTTGATGTTGTCACATGCAAGAATGGAGGAAATCTCGCTGAATTGCTGCGTTTTCTATGTTGTCAACTTTGCAAAATGAAGAGGTCTCGCAGAATTGCTTCGTTTTTGAGGTTGTTAAGTTCAAACATTGGGGAAGTCTCGCAGAATTGCTTCGTCTTTGATATTGTCAACTTTGAAAATGAAGACATCTCGCAGAATAGCTTGGTTTTCAACCTTGCAGATAGACAGGCAGATAGATAGACAGACACAGAGAAAGAGAGAGAGAGAGAGATAGATAGATAGATAGATCGGTAGGTAGATAGGTAGATAGGTCGATAGGTCGATAGGTAGATAAATAGACAGGTAGACAGATAGAAAGAGAGACAGACAGACAGACAGACAGACAGATAGATAGATAGATAGACAGACAGATAGATAGATAGATAGACAGACAGACAAATAGATAGAGAGACAGCTGAATAAAAAGATAGATAGATAGATAGATAGATAGAGAGAGATAGATAGATAGATAGATAGACAAATAGATAGAGAGACAGCTGAATAAAAAGATAGATAGATAGATAGATAGATAGATAGATAGATAGATAGGTAATTAGATGAAAGTGAGAGAGAGATAGATAGATAGATAGATAGATAGATAGATAGATAGATAGATAGATAGATAGATAGAAGACAAATAGCTACAAAACTAGACAGCTAGATAGATAGGTAGGTAGAGAGAGAGAGAGAGAGCGAGAGAGATCAAGCACCTTTCGGTCCATCAGTGGCTTCGCTCTGCCATCCCTGATTCACAACAACCAACCTCTCCTATAGGTTTCCTATCTTTGAAACTTCCGCCGCCGCCTTGTGCGGTACTACTCGTAAGAGTATGTGTTTGTAATTTGGTTTACCCTGGGAAAGTCAGATAGTAGGCCCCCGTTGTTGCTGATGGAAGCAAAGATTCCTTAAGGATCCTTAAGGGCTCCATATGCACTATATAGTTCTATCTGCATGATTTGAAAGTTTAAGTCACACCTCGGATGTTTCAGAGATTTCATTAGCTTTCAAAGCCGGACTTCAAACTTGTCAGGTACGACCAGCATCGGGACATTCTGCTTCTGGAGATGCAAGCCCCCTTAAGGACTGCATGTGTCGGGTGATTAGCCAGAGGTTGGTGATCTTTAGTCTAGTAGCACACTGGTTTCAATAGAAGAGTAGGATATAGTAGGATATGTTTTGGTTGGGCATTGTCATGCGTTTTCCAGGGCACAATTGGCATTCCTTGGTTTTCCTACTTTGGTGGCAGCGCTTGCCAGCAAGACTCAGGACGGGGCTAGTTCACCCATTCCAGAAGTGTATGTAGGAACTCATGGTAGATCAATGCAGGGTGTCAACCGGACATCTATAGGTTTATTCAATATATATATATATACATATATATATATATACATACACAGTTGATATCTTTTGACTATTTGAACTATATTAAATATGTGGGTGAGTGATAACGACCTCACTCACGTCGTGACGAACCACTACAATGATGGTGAGTGGATTGGGATTTGTTTATCCCAAAAATCAGACTTAGTCAGGTTGGTGAATCCGTTTTTTTTCAGTCAGATATAGTTTCTATTTATGTATATGTATACATATATATATAAATATATTTACACCAAAAACATTTTGAACCATTTATCAGTCATATATCATTAATTTAGTAGGATTTCACGATATTTTAATACCTTTCTATGGATTTTCTATGCTTGTTGAGGGTTACCTACTTACTCGGACCAGGTTGGAGGATTGGCACATCCGAGCAGAGAAGGAAGCTTTGGTCATAAGGCGGGCTCAGCTAGTTCGCCTGGGTGAACTGGTGGCTGATCATAACTATTCTGCCAGTCTAAGTGAACGTAGTGCCATCCTAATGTCGATAGATTAAATGAAATACGTGAAATTGTAATAACTTGTGTGTATAATTATTTACATATTTCCTTCTGAATTATTTGGTATTTTAGCTAATCATGAGAAAGCAAGCCATGAAGGTATTTGACAGATTATGGATCTCCAAGCGATAGGCAAATTGTGATTTTCTCCTAGGCTGACTAGGGTTTATGACATTATGAGGGACAAATCTCTGTATATATAGGTAAGGGTTTGGTCTAGCCAACTTAAGACTGAGGTGCCACGCACTTAGAATACTTTGTCGGTACGCTCCGACGGTACATTCGGGAACGGGCGTTCTTAAGCCGTACGCTCCTGACGGTATAATGGTCACCATGTCGGAGTTGCATTGTTCAGATGATGGACAAGCCGAAATGGCAATCGCGTCAGAAATTAACGGCCAAGAACTCTATTTGCATTTTGAGAGCTCCAATAATGTAAATGGCTTCTGCCGAGTAACTCGGTAATAGAATTCGGCGTAACTGCCACTGCTAATTCTAAAAGCAGGCTGATATCCATTTACATTTTCAGGGCTTTAAAACATGTAATTGGCTTTCTGTCTTGTTGTTTTCTTGCAGCATTGGCCGGAGTACCAACGGCAGCTAGAAATTATCCATTTACATTTTGAGGGGCTTTCAAAATGTAAATGGTCACTGTTTCGCCGGAAAGTGAGACTGAGAGCAGAGTACCCTGGCTAAGACCCGCTGACATTCGAAGAAGCGGTATAGAGAAGTTTGACGAGGCGCGCAGCCTTCTTTGCTTTCCTTCTTGGGTGACAATTTTGGTCCCATTTTGGTAGATCAGAAGCTTGTGTTCCATCGCAAAATGTGCCCTTGGACAGCGAAGACTCACGTGGCAAAGCGCCTTCTGGAACACCTCTTTGATTGCAAGGCAGTTCAAGCTGAAAGAGTACTTGGCACTGCACGGTTTGGCGGAAGGTGAAGTGACTCCGGAGGCTCGTGCTTGCTTCAACGAGATCCAGGATCAAAAAAACATGACCCGACCATGTACCGTGACAATGGGAAAGGACGAGGTGCTGGCAAGCGGATGACCGACATCACAAAATGTAAAGTAAGAAGAGCGACTATTTCTTGGCAGAAAGAGACCATGATTTCACTGAGAGACGATTGGCTGATTTGCTCGGGATGTATCGGGATCAATGTGCTAGCTGCATTGAGAAGCCTGCTTCGAACAAACCGGCCACAAACCCAAAGGCATTGGACAAGTGAATGAAAACAAAAAATAGCTATGGCGTCAACAATTGGAGTCAATTGGGGCGTCCAGCAACCTAGCCGGTTCGCCACATATTTGTGTGATGCTGTACATTTGGTTGTTTTGCAAGTTTGCAAGAAGCATTTTCCTTGGATTTGTTGCGTGCGTTCAAGATGCGGGTCTCCATTCTAGATTTTTTGTTTAAAGAATGCAGGAGTCCATGCTAGCAGGGGAATTCCAACAGGGATGATTGTTGTATTTTTTCTATTCGACTTTGCTTTTGTCTACTCGACTTTCTCCTTCTCTACTCTACAAAAACTGCTGTCTACCCTTCTGTACTCTACTCTTCTCCGGGGTTGGCGGATTAACCCTTATTAACCATCATGACATATCATGACATACCATGACATATCAACTGTCTTAACCATTCTTAGTTCACCATGATTGTACCTTGATTTAACCACAGTTTTCATTGTTTATTTGTACCATTTTAACAACATGTTTTTACCATACATGAACAATCTTAGTACCGCAATATTATTCCCAACCATGAAAACACATATTATATTATATTATATTATATACATTATATTACCATTATTATCATGATGACGATTATTTACCATGTTTTTTCATTGATTTAAACCCATACAATGTGAGGCCCCCAATGTTACAATATTCATACTATATTATCATATATTTAAACAATCAAAAACTACAGTATATTAAGTATAGATATTCAATGTGTCTTGACTGACAGTCGTGATATCAGGACATGGTCCATCCTCCTCCAGTTCGAATCGACTCGACAAAAAGTTGGTCGGCTCACATTCAATGCTGGAGAACGCTCAAGAAGGTACCTTGCTCGTTGCAGTGTATATGGTTGCTGGATAAAAATGGGTATTTGGCGGCTAAAGATTCTATAAGATTCTCTTGAATTTGCATTTGAATCATCAAAGTCCGTCAGAATTGGGGAGATTCACCAGCCAACACGGGTGTGTTACCATCAACAATGAGGGGATTTAAGATGGTAATGATGGAGTTACAAACAATGTTGGGAAAGCATTGAATCGCGGACATGGGTTTGTCCCGAAATGTCTGCTTCAATAGACCAATCATCAAAAAAAACGGGTGGTAAAACAACTGAATGATGGAAATTTAACTATAATGGACTTTGGGTTGGAGTAAGGAGATGATGGACAGATTTATCCGCGATAGTTGTAACTTACTGTAAGCAACTCTGTACAACCATCAAACATAGGGATGCGGATTGCGCCTGGTTAAGATATGGAATGAATCAGAAATGGTGCAGTAACCACCAAAAAAATACAGTAGTGATCTATCAAGAATGGACTCCCGATGGGATTTTGGTTGAGGTGTGGAATTTTGTAACCATCAAGGGTGGGGATATTAAGCTATTACGCAGAAGAGGTGGAGATCATGGGAAGGTTTTCCCAAACTATCCAGGAACCTCCAACGTCACTTAAATTTGTGCCCCAGTACCCTTTCGATGCCTAAATCAACAAGTCGTCACCTAAATCACCTTTTCGTGATGTAAAAACTTGCTCCGAGCACAATTTTGCAAATCGAGCGCGTTTGCTCACAACAACGCATTTAAAGATTTTAAAGAACTCACTCTTCAGCCTGCTACCTACTTTTATCTGAGCCGTGGCTACTTGTCATTAAATGTGTGCAATTCTCCAGGGATGAACATTTTTTGCAAAACCCAAACGATCAAAAACTTCGTGCAAAAAAGGTGCAAATCGGCGCAAAAAAGTGTAAATGGGCGCAAATCCCAAAAAAGGTTACCTCTAAACCCCAAAAGACTTCTCACGCATGTCTGTTTGTGTTTGTCTGAACACCCCGATACCATTTGCAGAGAAAAGTGCAAAACCAGGGCTCGTAAAACCTGTGACGCCACGCGCAGATTTTTCAAAAACTAACGCTGTTTCCTTCACGAGCGTAAACCTTGGTTTTAGGGCAGAAACTCAACGTCATGTAAATTTACGTTACTTTGGAGGTCCTAGGATGCATTCAAAAACCGGGGATCAAAAGTGGGGGTCTATCAGAAAAGGTTTTATCAACCAATGAAGAAGATGCAAAATACATTGCAATGTGACCATCAAAGATTGAAGATTTAACGATTGAATAATATGTAAAAACCCAATGGAATTTGGGTACAACCGTTGGCAACTGCTGGTGGACGTATGTTAAAGTTGCCAAATTGTCCAATCCCAAAACAAAATAATGTAGGTAAAACATGGTAAAACAATTTCATCAACATTCATCAAGCCTCCAAATCACAATTTTTATAGGTGGTATATATAGGCAGGTCTGGTTGCGGGTTCCCATTCCCCCATGGGTGACAGCTCCAGGCGCCGAAAAGGGGACCTCAAGGCTGTCCAGTGGAGGAGCCGCGGAGGTCCACGTGGAGGAGCCGCCAGAGCTGCTGGATTCAGAGGAAATGGAGGGCGAACATCGGGAAGGCGCGGCGGATGGGGAAGATTCGTGGTTTTACTACATGAACTGCGGAACTGGCGGTTTGGAACATGAATGGATCATGACTTTCCATATATATATATATAGTGTATATATATATATATATTTATATATATATATATATGTATATTGGGAATTTCATCATCCCAAGTGACGAACTCATATTTTTCAGAGGGGTTGAAACCACCAACCAGTGAAACTACTGGGTCTTGATGGGAAGAAAAAAGGATGATTAACACGACCAAAAAATGATGATTAGAAACTAGATGTGAAGATGTGATCTCTAAGTGAAGAATGTCGGATACTGATTAGTAGCAGGTCCCCTCCGAAAAAAAATGAGGGGAGTCTTCTTCAGGAGGCAATTTTGGAGGGACCAGGTGGTGAGATGGTGCGGGGCTGGTCTTGGTGTGCGTATGCACGTATACTTGGTGTTACGCTAGAGAATGTTCAATGTGGATATGCACACATAATACACATAGCTGGCGCTCTGCTAAAGAACGTGATGTAAATATGCACGCCCATTTGTTGCTACTCGCAAGCTGCAATATAGAGAACATTGATATGGATATGCACACTTCGTTGTTGCTACGCTACAGAAGGTTGATGTGGATATGCGCATGTACAGTTGGCAATACGTATTTTTTTGTGCTGGCAAAGACTTGAAGAGCAGGAGCCATGGAACAGTTGAACATTGTTCCTTAAAACACAAGAGCGACAGAAAAGGACATTACAGAACATGTTTTTTTTTGCATAGGAAAGGAGGAGAAAAGAAAGCCATCGCAACCCACAAATAGATTCCCAGAATTGGATTAAGGGAAAATCTGCTTGAAAATCATTGAACATCCCGATATTTGTTGGTAGAATCTGGTAGAATCCATCGTTTCTTGTACTTAATTATATATAATAGATGAAAAACTTGGGAGTTCGGATATGATGCGGAAAACCTCATCTATAAAATCCTGGAAACACAAAGGGGTATGTCCTTTTTGGGATCCCTGGACATAAATGTGAGATTCTTGGGGTAATTGTATTCGCACAATATAGATGACTTGGCAAGTTATGAAGATCCGAATCAATCGGTTAACGTGATTCTGATTCGGGTGACTTGGGGGAGTCCTTATATGTCATGGTGGGTGTATCCAAAAGTAACCTACCCCAAATGTACGGTGAGTTATCATAATATTGTTCTAACAAATGCACGCGATAAAATTTGGGGCAAACAATGAACATCAATCATGGCTGGTTATACACCCCATTTATGCTGTTAAGTTCCGCATCTCATGGCAAATGATTTTGATTCTTGACCAACCTGTTGTTCACTCATCCAATCCAAGTTGTTTTTCATGGTTAATCAAATCCGCAAAGTGAAGCGTCACAACGACTGTTGGTTGATAACCCCAGTATTGCTGGTTAGTTTGACAGTATTGCTGACTATGTGAAAGGCATTGTGAATGTTTAAAACTGTTTATCTTAACTTGTTTCTCCTCAGCCGGCTACCTATCTACCTCTTGATCATAATTTACACTGTGTCAAGGGCTAAGGTTCTGTGTGCAGACTTCTGTAGCCTACACGGTAGAAACTAAATCTCAACTAAACGATATAGTTTCATATTGCTGGTGATTTTATCGCTGGTTTCTTCCGTTTTGATTTGGTTGGAAATTGCCTCCGGGATTGGCTGAGCAAACCCCCAGCACCACATCTCAGCCAGGCTTGCTGTGGGCTGAGGAAAACGCCTGCAGCGGAGAGGTGCCACACGCAGCGGCGGATCCAATCACGGTGCCATGGTGCGAATCCCTGTGAAACTCCACCATCCATTACCCATATGCAACCCATGGTGCTGGTATATAGAAACATTAGAAACCAGACCAAAACTGGGTGATGTTGTTCGGGTAAATGGTGGTGTGCATTATCTTCGGGCACCATGGTCCCATGGTTCTTATTTTGTTTGGGTTATAATATCCCTATGAAAATGAGAATAAAATGTCATGTCTGGGGTTGGATGACCACGACAAACATTGTAACTTGACCCTGGCAGCGTCACTGGATGAACCTGGCAACATCTTGGGGTACAGGGATAATCACAGGGGTAACCACCACACATCCCTTTCTGATTAATGGAAAAGAACCATTTTTTCGAAGGTTTGGTAAACCGTTAAAGCCCAAAAAAACGAGAAACGTAAGAAGTTGCCATGAGTTTTTGAATCGCATTTACTTTCCTGCATCTTCTTTGGGGTTGTTATGATTATGTAGAATGGTCTAAATGCGTGATTTATCGAGCAATAATACTGGCTTCAGATTGTTTTTTACTTCTCCATAATTGATTCTTGATTAGAAGTGAAGTGACCACGGTTCATGAATCTGAATCAATGATCGATGATGGAGAATCATGTGAAGTGATGTTTTATCCTAAAATCATCAATGATCTACATTACTAGAAGTGAAGTCACCATTTCTTTTCTGGGCAATGTGTGGTGAATCTGCCACCAACTTCAGCTACGTTCAGGGAGCCAACTGACCTCTTGGAGGATGAATATGATGAGAAACACAAAGACTTTCTCTTTTGGTCGGTCGTTTCAGAGTGCTTATCATCCCTTTAAGTGGTATGATTCCAACTGGCATTTGATTATATATAGTGATCGATCTAAAGGTCCTTGTAAGGAGTTTTAATTGCGAAAGCCGTGCATGTTATGTTGAAAACCCTTGCGAAAGTCTTTTTTCGAGTTCGCGAAAGTAACATATATTAACATACCAGTAGTACCGCACAAGGCGGTGGCGGAAGTTTCAAAAATAGGAAACCTATACGAGAGATTGGCTGTTGTGAATCAGGGATGGCAGAGCGAAGCCACTGATGGACCGAAAGGTGCTTGAGGTCTCCTCTCTTTCTCTCTCTTTCTCTCTCTTTCTCTGAATAGCTATCTATGTATCTATGTATCTATGTATCTATCTATCTTTCTATCTATCTGTCTATCTATCTATCTATCTAACTAATCCTATCTATCTATCTATCTATCGATCGATCTATCTATCTATCTATCGATCTATCTATCTATCTATCTATCAAACTAATCCTATCTATCTATCGATCTATCTATCTATCTATCTATCAAACTAATCCTATCTATCTATCTATCTATCCATCTACCTACCTAATCTATCTATCTATCTATCTATCTATCTATCAAACTAATCCTATCTATCTATCTATCTATCTCCATCTATCGATCTATTGTTGTTGTAGTTGTAGTTGTTGTGGGTGTTGTTGTTGTTGTTGTTGTTGTTGTTGGTTGTTGTTGTTGTTGTTGTTGTTGTTGTTGTTGTTGTTGCTGTTGCTGTTGCTGTTGTCGTCGAAGTTAGGGTAGTTAAGTTAGTGAAGTTAGTTAAGTTAGTCAAGTTAGTTAAGTTAATCAGTGTCTACTTTTTCGACATCTTCACGTCAAAAAAGGCTCAAAACCCTCAATTTTTTACACGTTTGACTTCGAAATGTGCTTCGCGCCACAACGGCGTGCACTTTTTTGACACTTTTTCGACATCTGAACCTCCAAAAGTGGTCCGAGACCGTCAGTTTTTAACACTTTTGACTTGGAAATCTGCTTCGCGCCACAGTGGCGTGCACTTTTTCGACATCTCAACTTCCAAAAGTGGTCCGAACCTGGTGTGTTTTGTACATTTTGACTTGGAAATGTGCTTCGCGCCACAACGGCGTGCACTTTTTCGACATCTTAACTTCCAAAAGTGGTCCGACCATGGTGTGTTTTGTACATTTTGACTTCGAAATGTGCTTCGCGCCACAACGGCGTGCACTTTTTCGACATCTCAACTTCCAAAAGTGGTCCGAACCTGGTGTGTTTTGTACATGTTGACTTGGAAATGTGCTTCGCGCCACAACGGCGTGCAATTTTTCATCTCTCATCTGGCCAGCTGGCTCCGCACCCGCCGCTGTAGCGAGCCTACTTTTCGACCCTCCGGAGCCACAAATCATTGGAAAAACACAGTGTTTCGCGACTTTCCTACCTTTTCGCGCATCTGCATCTTCTTTCTTCTGATCTTTTCTCTTCTGACTCTTCTCACCTCTGCTTTTCAACTGTCCATATCGTCGGAAGTTTCACTTCTAAACTTCCTTCGATTATGTGAAATTGCAGGTTGAAATTCCCAATTGCACATATTCAAACAAATTCCTGGACATGGGTAGCAAGGCTGTTCCAGCTGTTCCATAGTCATGTCGTCTTACATAATCTTGTTGCAGGCTTTTCCCACCGCAAATTTGCCTCGATACTTGTGGAAGTTAGTGTGGCATTTGCGAGGGGTGAACAGTTCCCAGTTCCAAAACACTTGTTCTACCCAACTTTCACGGTTCCTCCAAGTCTTGGCCTACTGGATCCTACTGGCATTTCTCTTTAAACAACAAATCAGACTTGTTTCCATCTATCTATGGCCCCAATGTTCCTATGGTTCTTCCGTGTTTTCCCCTTTTCTTTTAACGTTTTAAAGTTGTCCAATGTTTTCCACATATTTTGGCTGGATGGTTTCAACGTGTTTCCTCCATCAAACTTTGAAGCTCCACGGGTTCCCGTCAGTTTCGGAGAGCGGATGAGGTCTCGTTGGACCTACGTCGGGTGTTGTCGGGTGCCGCCAGCTACACGGATGTAGAGCTGAGCGACTCCGACTTCCACGACATCGCCTTGCACGAGGAGCTCTGTGAGGATGTCCTGCAGTTGGACCTGGCTGGATGCATGGCTTGGATGGGAACAAACATGGGATGAGGATTATAAGATGATATAAGATATGTATTAAGTTATAAGCATAAAGCATGAATCACTATAATATAATCCCTTCCTCCTAATACTAAACCCCCCCCCCAATACAAAACACGGCAGGTAGTTTTTAGTATTAGGGGGGTATTTATTATTAGGGAACCAAATCGAAGTCATGTTAATTAGTTATTCATGCATTAAAACCCTTAATACTAAAAACTATTTTTTCCGATCTCAAAATCAATTAAATTTCCTTATATAACGCAATTAAAATATTGCCAAAAATGGCAGTTCGAAGTTTACCCCTAATACTAAATTAAAACCCTTAATGCTAAAAACTATTTTTTCCGATCTCAAAATCAATTAAATTTCCTTATATAACGCAATTAAAATATTGCCAAAAATGGCAGTTCGAAGCTTACCCCTAATACTAAATTAAAACCCTTAATACTAAAAACTATTTTTTCCGATCTCAAAATCAATTAAATTTCCTTATAACGCAATTAAAATATTGCCAAAAATGGCAGTTCGAAGCTTACCCCTAATTGCTAGAGTAGCCAGGCAGCTTGGAGTGAGGGATTGGGACTAGGCCCCCCTAATACTAAACACCCCGGGGTGAACTAGTTTTTAGTATTAGGGGGGAGAACCCACAAATGGTAGGTTGATTTTTAAATTGTTTTTAAAGGGGATCAATTAAAAGTCAAATTGGCCAAACTGAAATTTTCGGAAATTGGAGATGGATGCCTGTTTTTAGTATTAGGGGGACGTTTAGTATTAGGAGGAGGGGATTATCATGGTTCTTTTCTGGTCCGGAATGGTGCCATGGCTTTTGTTTTAATGGAAATGTCTCCGTGGCTCAGATTCTGCTGATGCAACAGGGCAGGGCTCTCTAGCGAGTAGACATGGTGTGACTGGCCATCAAATGGAAGCCCAGCAAGAATAACCAAGAATCCAGCAGAAATAGCTTTGTTTCCTCACCTAGTTTGTCATGTCCCAAGAGCGCAACATAGGCCACCTATTGACACAGAGCCCAGGCGACTGGAGATGCATAGATCCATTGTTGGAGTTGGAGGTATAGAGCCCAGAAAACATGGACATGTTCATTATTCACCCACTATAACTGCTACAAGGTGGTGCCCCCATGTTTTCTGTGTGTTGATTTATAACCCCTGTGAACTAGTTCGAGTTTCTAGCATGAATCTAATCCTGAACCGGAATCTACTCAATTAAAGCAACTTGGCTCACGAACGGGGTCACTACCACTATTCGTGTCGTCCCGGACATCTCACATTGAAACATGCGCTTGCTGCCCCAAAAACACATATCTAATAATCAAAGGAAGTTTAGGGGGAGAAACTTCCGTGTTACGGACTTTTAGAATGTCAGGGAAAGAGTTAGTCAAAGAAAGAGTTAGCAAAGAAAGAGTTCGTCAGGGAAAGAGTTAGTCAAACCAAGAGTTAGTGAGGGAAAGAGTTAGTCGAAGAAAGAGTTCGTCAGGGAAAGAGTTAGTCAAACCAAGAGTTAGTGAGGGAAAGAGTTAGTCAAAGAAAGAGTTAGTGAGGGAAAGAGTTAGCAAAGAAACAGTTAGTCAGGGGAAGAGTTAGTCAAAGAAAGAGTTAGTCAAACAAAGAGTTAGTCAAAGAAACAGTTAGTCAGGGAAAGAGTTAGTCAAAGAAAGAGTTAGTGAGGGAAAGAGTTAGTCAAACAAAGAGGTAGTCAAAGAAACAGTTAGTCAGGGAAAGAGTTAGTCAAAAGAAAGAGTTAGTCAAACAAAGAGTTAGTCAAAGAAACAGTTAGTCAGGGAAAGAGTTAGTCAAAGAAAGAGTTAGTGAGGGAAAGAGTTAGTCACAGAAAGAGTTAGCAAAGAAAGAGTTAGTCAGGGAAAGAGTTAGTCAAAGAAAGAGTTAGTGAGGGAAAGAGTTAGTCAAAGAAAGAGTTAGTGAGGGAAAGAGTCAGTCAAAGAAAGAGTTAGTGAGGGAAAGAGTCAGTCAAAGAAAGAGTTAGTCAGGATATATGAGGTAGTCAAAGAAAGAGTTAGCAAAGAAACAGTTAGTCAGGGAAAGAGTTAGTCAAAGAAAGAGTTAGTGAGGGAAAGAGTTAGTCACAGAAAGAGTTAGCAAAGAAATTGTTCCCTCACTGTAAATGGGATTGCAAGTGGTGCTGGTGGAGGAGTTGCCGATGGAGTTTTGGAGGAAGTCTCGCACGAAATGCGTTTTTGAGAGATAGCAGATGCACGAAATTCTATGTTTTCCATACAAAGTCCGTCCCCGAACCTCGATGATCTACCTCTGCGGTGCGACGGGTGCGAGACGGTCTCGTGTGTGGTCGGATCATCCTCGGATCATCCTCGGATTGGTCTCGGATCGGTTCCGCATTGTAAATGGGGTTTCAACTGTTTTTCGTGCATGTGTGGTCGACAGAATTCCATTGTGATTTGCAACTGTAGGATCGTTCCCGCATTGTAAATGGGGTTGCAAGTGGTGCTGGTGGATGCGTTGCCGATGGAATTCCATTGTGATTTGCAACTGTAGGATCGTTCCCGCAATGTAAATGAGATCGCAAGTGGTGCTGGTGGAGGAGTTGCCGATGGAGTTTTGAAGGAAGTCTCGCACGAAATGCATTTTTGAGAGATAGCAGATGCACGAAAGCCTACGTTTTTCCATACAAAGTCCGTCCCCGAACCTCG